CACAGTCTCCTGGTGATTAAGGCTGTTTTCCCCAAGAAGGGAATAACAAGGGTGGGTGATCTCTTCAGATTGCAGAAAAAGGTAACAGAAGAACCTGCATTTATTCTGTGGTGATTACAGATTTTTAGTGAGCATAGACTATGGATTTCTACCTCCAGCCAGAGAAATGAAAGGGATTGCTGAAGGTTTTAGGAGCTTCCAGAAAAAAAGAAATTTTGATACAGAGGGCACCCCTCCTTTTGAATAAGCAAAACCACTATATAGAAAAGTTCTTAGTTTTGGTCACTGTTTTACTTTTCTTGGCTTGAGAAAGAGTCAGATATGAAGATATGTGACAAACAACATTTCTGTGACTTCTAAAATGTCTCCTTTTGCTGTCCTAATTCAACTGTAGCTCTGTCACTTTAAGGACACTTTGAAACTCCTAAGCTTTTTCTCTGTGGCCATTCGAATTTCCAAGTCTGTTGCTGTAAAGCAGGGATGGGCAATTGTGGCTCTTTTACAACCTGTGGACTTCAACTCCCAGAATTCCTGAGACAGCCAAGCTGTCGAGTTGAAGTCCACAGGTTGTAAAAGAGCCACAATTGCCCACCCCTGCTGTAAAGGAATGTCATCTGGATTCCCAGGATGGAGGGGGTGCATTCCCAAGGAGCAAGAAACCCCACAGTTCTGACAGTTCGTGTGAGAGAAAGGTTGAAGGCAGCTCCTCCTTAACAGTTCCTAGAGTATATGTTTTATGTGGTTGGTAGCAGGGGTGAAATCCAAATTTTTTCCCTACTGATTCTGTGGGCATGGCTTGGTAGGCGTGGCAGGGGGAGGATATTAACAGAACCTGTTAGAACCTGCTGGATTTCACCCCTGGTTGGTAGCCTGCTCTAGTTTGGCAAGATTCTGTCTAGAGGTGAGGAACAGTAAAGAAATCTGCTTGGAAGAATCACATCATGTCTTCCTTGGTTTTTGGAGGCTGACCATTTGCTTTCAAATCATCAAGCAATCCACAGAATTCTCACCGATGCCTTAGAATGGTACCTCAGTACCAGAGGTGGTATTCAGCTGGTTCAAACTAGTTCGCCCAAAATGGCAGTGGAAATCATGGGTTCATTTCCACTGATCTACTGCCATTATCTGTCTCTCTCCAGACATGAGGCAGAGAGGCTGGAACAAGAGGCCCGAGGTCGTCTTGAACGGCAGAAAATCCTTGATCAGGCTGAGGCAGAACGAGCCCGGAAGGAGCTGTTGGAACTGGAAGCATTGAGGTGAGTGTGCAGGATCCATGTTGTTTTAAGGACCAACTATGGACATTTGTTCCAAACTTAGTACTTTCCTGCTTTCTGAGATCTCAGGCAGTGCTAGCTAAGAATTGTGAGAGCTGGACTCCTCCTTAAATCTGGAGGTTGCAAGTTTAGGGAGGCTGATCTAGTCTTCAATTGCATATTGAGATGCAGTTTCTAAAGGGCTCTCTGCTTCCCCTTTCCTATTTTCCCAGCATGGCTGTGGAGAGCACAGGGGCAGCCAAGGCAGAGGCCCAGTCCCGAGCAGAGGCAGCCCGAATTGAAGGAGAAGGAGCGGTTCTGCAGGCCAAGCTGAAGGCTCAAGCTACTGCCATAGAGACGGTGAGTCCTGCCAGTCCTCCTACAAACCTTTCTAGCCTAACTAGCTTCTTGATGGTGGCTGCGAGTGCTAATCTTCCCTCCAGTGCTGAGCATCATGGGCTAGAACAGGGGTCTGCAACCTTAAACACTCAAAGAGTCATTTGGACCCATTTCCCACAGAAAAGAAAACACCAGGAGCCACAAAACCCTTCCTGTGCCTGACTATTTCTTGAGCGGCCACAAAACTAGCATTTGTAGTTGAATTAAACATTCTGTTTTCTTCTGAAATTTTTCTTTTCTTGAATTTATCCATGGTTGGCCTATCGGGGGTTGAAAAGCTCAATAAATCGCATGCCGGCAAGTTTCGCACTTTGGCAGTTGTGACGCATATTTTGAGTGACAGGGAGCCGCAGCAGAGGGGTGAAAGAGCCACATGTGGCTCCTGAGCCGCAGGTTGCTGACCCCTGGGCTAGAACAAAACATTGTATCTGAAAAATAAAGTAACTGATTTTGCATCTTTCCAACTCACCCTAAGCATTTCTCTCTCCCCCCCCCCTTTTCTGTGCTTAGTACTTAATCCTGGGCTAAGTACTTCAGTTAAGTAGGGCAATACATGGACAGAATAGGGTATCCGTACCAAGACTGCCCTCTTTAAATCCACTGGATTAGGGTTTGGAGCAGGCTTATTGTTTGATTTTTTTTCTCCTTCAAAAAAAAAGGTGAAGATAGGAGCAGAAGGCCTCTCTTTCCAATTTTCATCCACAAATGGCTTGAAAGTTCAATTTTTCAGGCCAGACGGGGCCTTTTCAAAATTGGTGAAGGAGTAGACTTTTTTTGCAAGTCATTCCTGCCTGTCCTTCTTAACCATCCCTCCTTCCTGTACTGAAAACTACCTAAAAGTGGCCTAGAAAAAAAAAGTAGCAATTTCTGGTCATTTTGGCTTCCAAAATTTCCCTACTCATCAAATTTCCATTGCTGAGAAACACCAGCCCTGTCCCTTAGAGAAAATTAGGAGACCAAGGCGTAGCCCCTGAATTGTGTGATGTGGTTTTAAATTCCTTCCTTCCTTCCTCTGTTTTTAGCCACTGAATTTTAAGCTTTCACGTGCTTGATTCCAGTCGAAGCACGGTTTAATGCTTTTAATTTTCAGAACAAAGCCTGTATTGGATATTGGTTTTTTTTCCCCTCTCAGAATTCTAGGCATAATTATATCTGAAATATATGAGGCATCTTCTGATTCAGCCTCCAGCTTCTAGCCAGTTCTGAACTGCACTTGTGGGCTACAATTCCTGGTCTAGTTCTTTAACTTTGCTGCTGCTTTCCATTTCTGCCATTTGTATCTCCGTGCTTGATGAAAAGTTCTAGAGAAATCAAAAGTTTGGTTGTTCCTAGCAAAAACATTGCATCAATTTGGATTTTGTGTTTGATTTTTCTCACAGACGAAACTGTCTCTGGTCAGATATATAACAAAGAAGAAACTATAAGGGTCAGATTCTGTCTGTGACTTTGTACTATTCTGGTATAACAATTTATAGAATCATGAAATCATAGGACTGGAAGGGACCTCGGAGGTGTGCTAGCCCAATCCCTGCCCAAGGCAGGAGACTTTATTGCATCCTGAAAAAATGGCTGTCCAATCTTTTCTTCAAACCTCTTCAATGGGCTGTAGATGCCAGCAGGCGCCTGCACTCGATAGCTGCTTGTCAGACTAAGAAGACTTTTAAAAAGTCTTTAGATGACACCCACTGTTTTATATGTAGATAATAAATTTCGTTTATAGAATGGGTACCTTAGTAAACTTTATATTAGGACTTTAGTGGGGAAAGTAAAGGCAAATTAGAGAAGTCCCATCAGTTGATATAGCTTCTCTAGTAAGAAATAAAAGGAAAAAATAGTATGCAATGGTGTTGTATGCATTGTTGCCAGAGTATTTAAGAAATCACATTGGTAGCTCCTTTTCTTCAACTCTGATGTTTGGATTCTTCCTGTGTGTCCATCTTTCTGTCTCCCTCCCTTATTCTCTCAACTTTTCCAGGAATCAGAACTTCTGCGTCTTGCACAAGCCCGGGAACAAGAGCTGCGCTTTGCCAAAGAGCAAGCTGACTTGGACGTGGCCCGGGCAGAAGCTCTGGCTGCTGTTGAAGTCAAGAAATTTGAAGCTGTGATCAAATCCCTCGGAGCCAACACTATCCGCGACATTGCAGTGGCTGGGCCAGAGATGCAGGTGAGAAACAGAGAAAGGAAGAGGGACAAAAAAAACATCCCACTGGCAGTGAGGGTCAGATCAGCCTTCCCCAATATGGTTTTCCTCTAGTTCTGGTTGGGAAACTCTGGCAGGGTCAATTCTACCATATTTGGAGAACTCCCAAGCCGGGCCAAATGACATGAAGACATAAGGCAGGGGTGAACATTTCTACTGATCTAAGAAAGCATGGGGCACAATAAACTACAGGTAGTTCTTGACATCTCAACCCACAATTGAGCCCAAAATTTCCATTAGTAAGCAAGACAGCTGTTAAAAGTGAGTTGCTCCCCATTTTACGACCTTTTTGCCACAGTTGTTAAGTGAATCATGCAATCGTTAAGTGAATCTGGTTTCTGCCTCCCATTGACTTTGCTTGTCGGAGGCAAGCTGGGAAAGGTTACAAATGCTGATCACATGACCCCTGGACAGTGCAACTGTCATAAACATATCCAGTTGCCAAGCACCCAAATTTTGATCACGTGACCACGGGGATGCTGCAAAGGTCGTGTGAAAACTGGTTACGTCACCTTTTTCAGCACCGGTGTAACTTCAAACGATCACTAAATGAATGGTTGTAAGTCAAGGACCACCTGTAGAAAAGCAGGAGCAGCCACCCATCTCAGATGCCCCAACATGATAGCAAATTAGAAATATTCAATTGAGATTTTGAAACCCTGATGCATGATTTTTTGCTTTCTATTCCTTGCAGGTCAAATTGCTCCAAGGCCTGGGAATCCAGTCCACCCTCATTACGGATGGTTCTTCTCCTATTAACCTCTTCACAGCTGCTGGAGGACTTCTGGGGATTCTGCCCAAGCCTTCGGAGACATGAAATGGAGGGGGAAAGACACCACTCCAGATGAATCCTCTCTATTAAATTACTTAATGAGTGCCTTACAAGAACATGGCAGGGGACCATGGGCTATATAATACTGTGCTTCCCCAGAATGTTGATGGGGGAAAAGTATAAAATAAACGTCTTTTTCTGTTGCATATCATACTTTGCTTTGTTATTCATCATTTTTTGGAATGATTGCTCCTGGGAATAATGATAGAACCTGGATGGGTGGGGTGTGTGTGGAATCTTGGTTGTTGTGGCAGAAAGTTAAACTGGAATGTGAGGAGAGAAGCATGCACTGTGAGGTCATCAGGCATGCAATGGTGTTTGGATGAGAGAGAGAGAGACAAGGCTGAGCCATTATGCTGAGCCAAGTGCAATCTTTGTTTCTCTGCATCTTATGCAATTTTGCAAATCTCTCCAAGGAAAAATGGATTGATCAACTAATGGAAGGTGAGCCCAGGCCCTCCTGCCCAACTTTCTCCACTTACCTAAAATTTAATATTATCCATCTTAATTCTACAGTTACACCTAGTGCAGCAAAAGTAAATCTAGGTTGGTGTACTGTACAGTGGCCATAGGTGGGCAGATTTGCTACCATCTAGTGGTCATCCATGTTTTTGCAGACAAGCTATGGTAGCTAATTAAAAGGAAACTTCAATCTTAGTTTGGGTTTATGTAACACTGAGCTATGGCTTGTTCAGTTATAGTTTGGCAAAATAATCACATTCAACCTAGAGCCAAATCATCCACATAACATCCGGGTATTATATGAGGAATGAACTCAGGCTCCAAAAATGTAAAGTCAATATACTGATTATTTTTTTGTTAAAGAATCCATTCTTTGAAGTTCTCAGTATAAATTTCAGGCAGCTTCTAAGAGCCTGTGTGCATTTGAAAAAAATCTGTTCACAATACAATTCCACAACTCTACATGGATACGGCTTTTACCTCAGAACTGTGTTTAGGTAGAGTATCCAGCATAGATGCTTCAGTGCCAGACCAAAGTTGATTCTAGTTCTGCGTTAATACTATTTAAAAATGGTTAATGCTTTTTAAACTACAAAAGAGATGTTGGAATGACTTGGGATACTTCTAGAACTTACTATCATAGTGGTATCCACTTAGTCATCTGGGGAAAAAATATTTTGATAAACTTCAGCACTTTTTCATTAGTTCCTGCCTGGCCATATGCATTGTAGTCAGAAAAAAGTTTGCTCATTTTCTAAACAAAGACCTGGGGAACAATTAATTGACCACACAATGGATGGGTACTGAATACTTAAAAGAGACATTCCATAAAATATTAAAGATGATAGATATAAAAATTATGACTGAATGTAAGGATGGTTATGTTTGACGAATAGAGTGATTAGCCCACCAGCTCTGAAAAGAGATATAAAAGTAAGGGAGGAAAGATATTTTGTCCTTGACCAGTAATAATATGAACCAATTTAAGAAGTGTAACATCCCTTGGACATCAGGAATGCTTTCCTCTGAGTGCGTTTCTTATTTCTTTGGCCCCCCAGCACCTGTGGAAAAACTACATGATGCCAACGAGACAATGGAGTCCTTATCCCATGAGGCACCCTGGTTTGACTACCCTGACTCCGATAAAGAGAAGATCTTAGCTGTCTATAAGTTTATTGGAGAAAAGCCCGAATTTATTGCTCCAAGTGAGACGTCAGTTTGTACACTCTAGGGCAGGGTTTCTCAACCTTGACAACTTGAAGATGGGTGGACTTCAACTCCCAGAATTCCCTAGTCACATGGCTGGCTGGGGAATTCTGGGAGTTGAAGTCACCCATCTTCAAGTTGCTACAGTTGAGAAACACTGTTCCAAGGATTGCCAGAATCCCCTCTGGGAAGAAACTAGGCAACACATGAAAATTATAGCATGGGGCTAAAAGAAGCATAAATTGCCCATGCATGTATTGTATCCTCCCTTATTATACAGCCCACATTCTTCCCTTCCCCCCACCTTCATGTTGGGGCTTTTAAACCTGTTTATTAGAAAAAGAAGTCCAAGGGAGGATCACTTGCTTGACGTAACACATAGATTATGCCTCCAAATCCCTGCCCTGGTTTTTTTTTTTACAGGATTCCTGCTTGTTAGATCCTAAGCCAGTAAACAACCTTCCCAGCTTGTTTCTGAACAGTGGGCTTCTCTGCTGGTGGCCCATGAGAAGCCCACTTTCTTTGTCTCTTCCAGGCGCCTTCCCTCAGCTGCTGCGCTACATCCTGGTGGGATCCATTCTCCTCATCCTGCTGTTCTTTGTTTTTCAGATTGTCCAAGTGTAAGTGTTGCACCAGCCCACATCTGCTGGGCCTTGGCTGGAACCAGTGGTGGGTTGCTACCAGTTCTCCAGGTTCTTGCGAACCGGTAGTGGAAATTTTGAGTAGTTCAGAGAACCGGTAAATACCACCTCTACCCGGCCCCGGCCCCAATCTATTCGCTGCCTCCCGAATCCCAGCTGATCAGCTAGAAGGAAAAAAAATGTTTAAACTCTTGCTGTGGCGCTTCAAAGGGCCGCCCTACAGCTGATCAGCGGTAAAAGGCAGTGTGGTGGTAGACCAGTGCGCTCCAAAAACAAATGGGTAGACCGGTACAGCTCTGCAAGCAGTTAAAAGCCTGGTAGACCAGTACCTCTGCTAAATCCTAAAGAATTGTCACATGACCATCAAACTATGGCCACAAAATAAGCCACGCCCACAGAAACGGTAGTAAAAAAAATTTAGAACCCACCCCTGGCTGGAACCCCTTTCCCCGGGGGTGTTAAGAGCCATGTTTTGTGCCCACACATTTCCTCCACAATCTGATTTCCCATCCTTCCCCATTTCAGGCTTTTCCGTAAACAACGTGAGTAGAGAAGACGACTAGAGTTCCTGAATGGCTTGTCCTCTGCTCCTTTCCACGGCCCTTCCTGTTAAGTAAAAGGCCTCTGAATTTGTATGCATTTGCAAGATATTCATTGATGAAGAAATAAGGCTAGAAAGTGGGAGACTTGTGAATTCAAGCCCCACCTTAAGTCATGAAAGCCGACTCGGTGACTTTGGGCCGGCCACTCACTCTCAGCTGAACCCACCGTACAATATTGTTGTGGGGAAAATAGGAGGGGGGAAAGCGTGCTGGTTACGTTTGCCGCCTTGTGTTATTTGTGAAAATAATAAATAAGTGGGATAGAAATGAGTAGATAAATAAAAGATTAAAGAGGGAGAAGTTGTAAAGATAGATACGTGGTCCTCAAAGGTTTTAGGGAAAGAGTGATCCGAATACAGGGCTCGGCAATACACATGGGGCTAGGGGTTTGGAATTAATAAACGACACATACAGCCCCTCCACTGACAGTAGATAAAGGCTCCTTTAATACTTGGCAGACCTTGGGTTATAAATACATTCCCCCCTGCTCTTTATTTACAGCTAGATTCCTGCCCTATGAAGTGAGGAGGGGGGGGTCTAAGAGTGAGCAGTGAAGGAATTCTGTGCTGAAACAGAGAAGGTGTCAAGAGGAGAGGGATGTTTTCCCCTGCTGGGTTATTGCTATGGGGAGGGGGGCATGTGTTCTTTAAGCGGCACCCCTCTGATCATCTTGCTACAGAGGATAAATGTGTGTGTGTGCGTGTGTGTCAGATCACACCCGCACCCACATATGAATGAATTAAATATCCTGGGTAGATGACATTCCAGTAATACTGAAGACCATGTTATTTTACTAGCATCCGAAAAAAATGATAGAGTGTTTCCTTATTGGTTATTCTACAAATATAACTAGTTCTGCTGATAGGTTCCCCTATTGCTGCCTGGGGTGAGGGCAATCCAAACCCAGTATTATTTCTCCATCGTGTTTACATGTGATAGAGATTCTGCAAGTCTAAAGAAAATAGAATTGGGGAGAATTTGACTTAATCTTCCTATCCAACAGTATATAACCCCTGCTTTCAGGAAATAGTATCATCCCCATGCAAGCCACATGGGTCACTCCTTGGCTAGCAATGCTCAGAAAATCTTAGGTCATCTAATCATAGTCTAGCAAGCAATAACCAATATGCATTTGTTGGCTTGGCAGAGCCCTGATACATTAGAAATCTGGTTTTGCTCTACAGGCCCACATCCAGTTGATTCTTGATGTGGTGCCCCACAAGTGTGAATATCTCCCCAACATAGATAACCTCAGTATTCCCTTTCATTTAGGACTACACTCTGGTTCAAACCCTACCCAACTCATAGACATTTCAAAACATCGACAGCATTGCAAATTTAGAGGGTTTCCTTTGACAAAGGATTTCCACATTAGCAAACCAAGGAATACTTTGGTTTCATGCCCTCTAAAGACTTCCTTTGAGACACCACCACCCCCTTCCCAGACCCTCCCGTTTTCCCTTTTGGCTTAGGAGCCAGCTTCCCCACTCCCTCCCATTACCCCAATAAATAAGTCATAGGGGGAAAAGGCGGCCTGTCCGTTTGCAGCTGAGGGAGGGGGCAAGAGAGCCATTAGTCCAGTGCCTGGGTATCCATCCTGTGCCCGTTTCGCAATACTTGTTCCTTGGTGGTACCCCGGGCACGGAAGACACGGAATGCTCCGCGGCAGATGAGGCCAAACCAGTATATCTGGGGAGCCATGAGGATGGCCGATCCCAAGTTGTACTCAGCGGGGATGGAGAAGGGTACACGGTAGAAGGGCAAGCCAACATGCTGCCCATATACCCAGTACATATATGGAAAGAGCAGGATTCGGCAGAAGAAGAATGTGACTAGCATGGCCATGCCATTCACCTTGTGGAGAAGAGTGTGCTGCTGCTTGTACTGCGGAGAGAAGGAAAAAAGAGAGTTGAAAGACAAATTCAGACTAGGTTGTCTAACTCTTCTGCCTTCCCATTATGTCTTTATTTAGTTATGTATGGTCACCCATCTTACCCTAATAACGCTGGGCATTTAATCAATTAAAACGCCAACTAAAACAGGGGTCTCCAACCTTGGCAACTTTAAGACTTGTGGACTTCAATTCCTCAGCCAGTTGAAGTCCACTAGTCTTAAAATTGCCAAGGTTGGAGACCCCTGATCTAAAATGCCCACAAACCAAACAACCAATATATAAAATCTATACAGGTAGTCCTTGACTTATGACCACAATTGGGACCAGGATTTCTGTTGCTAACAGAGGGGGTTGTTAAATGAGTCACACCTCATTTTGCAATCTTTTCTTGCAATGATTGTTAAGAAAAATCACTGCGGTTGTTCAGTGAATGACACAGTCATTAAGCGAATCTGGTTTCCCCCACTGACTTCACTTAACTGGAAGCCAGCTGGGAAGGTTGCAAATGGCAATCACACAAGTCCAGGACACTGCAACTATCATAAATACATGCCAGTTGCCAAGAGCCCGAATTCTGATCATGTGACTGTGGGGTTGCTGCAATGATTGTAAGTCATTTTTTCAGTGCGGTTATAATTTTGAACGGTCAGTAAGTCAATGCAGGTAGTCTTCGACTTACAACAGTTCATTTAGTGAACCGTTCAAAGTTACAACATCACTGAAAAAAGTGATTTATGACCATTTTTCACACTTCGGACCATTGCCGCATCCTCATGGTCACGTGAATTACATTCGGATGCTTGACAACTGACCCACATTTATGACGGCTGCAGTATCCCAGAGTCATGTGATCCCCTTTTGTGACCTTCTGACAAGCAGAGTCAAGGGGGAAGCCAGATTCACTTAACAATCGTGTTACTAATTTAGCAACTGCAGTGATTCACTTTACAAATGTGCCAAGAAAACTTGTAAAATGGGGCAAAACTCACTTAACACATTTCTCACTTGGCCACACAAAATTTGGGCTCAGTTGTGGTAAGTTGAGGACTACCTCCGGTTATTAGTCGAGGGCCACCTACCTGTAATGTGCACCAAGCTAAAAACCAATCTGAACCTTCCTTTCTTTTCCCCCGCTCCCCTAAGAGAAGCTCAGTAGCAGGTGATACTCACCAGGATGAGAACCTTCCCAAGGCAGACAAAAGGGGTACTGAGTTCAGCCATCAACATACAACCCAGAAAGAAGTCACCTTTGCCTTGACGCCACAGCTGAAGGGGGGAAAGGGATAAGCATGACAGACCTGGGCCTGTAGGGCAGCGTCTTCTAAAGGACAGCATCCTCATTTGCAGCTTCTGCTGCATGGATCAATAGCCCATCCCTTCCCTTCCCTTCCCGTCCTCATCTGTGCACACGGGTCATGTCCCTGCCCCCTCCCCTCCAGTCCCACTCACCACAGACACAGGGAAGCAAACCAACACCATGAAAAGATGGTGAATCACCATCAGTAATTCCTTGTGCAAGTAGGCACGGATGGCAGTGTGCAGCGTCTGAGCCTCAACGCATCTTGACTCATGCCCTTTGACCTGGTACCTGTGCCAATGGCACAGGAACATAGCGTAGATATCGTAGATGAAGTAAGGGACTGCAAACTGGGTGTAGTTGGAAGTCAGCCAGTGCCTGGAGGAAGTGAAAAGGGGTAAAGGAATATAAGCAGCTAACAGACCCAGTATATTACCCTGTCAAGTTACCCTGCAGATAACTTGAGCCACGACCAAAGGGGATGGAAGAGCAGGACACTCTCCACCCCTCTGGAACAGACTCAAGGCCACAATCAATGAGGAATTGATGGCATGCTGATGTGCTTCACTCCCAAGGACAATGGTAACATAGATTCTGCCTTGCTCACATCGTCCTGTCTCTCTCTCTCTCTCTCTCTCTCTCTCTCTCTCTCCCTCCCTCCCTCCCTCCCTCCCTCCCTCCCTCTCTCTCTCTCTCTCTCTCTCTCCCTGATCCTGATCACAACCTTCCCCTCCTGGAGTAAATGTGGTTTATCACCAGTTTTAACTTGCTTACACCTTATTTCTAAGGTACTCCAGACACTGCTGCACCTAGGACAGGTATCCTATTAGCAATTCCTCCTTACTTATCGGATCCTACCATATTACTCCCTCTGGTTTTTATGAACAGGATGTTTTGGCTTGCTAGCATCTGCCTGGGACCCATGCTTTCAACTTTGCTTAGAAACCCACCAACTCTATAAAAAGGCACTGAGATTCATGTAAATTCAGAACACTGGAATTAGTCTCATTCTACTTAAAATGACTTAAAATACAAGGTTTTTGTTTTTTTGTTTTAAATCCTGGTCTGGTCTCATTTTTGAAAATGCTAAAGAGCAGCTGAAATAGAGATAAATAAAACAGGTTTCTTTACAACTTCTTAACCATCATATCCCTTGCTCAGCTCTGTCATGTGACTGTGGGGAATGCTATCTCTCCCCCTCTCCCAAACATTTCTGCTGACGATACTCTCTGCTCCATGCAAGGTGATTAGGCCAAATGCCAAAGCAGCAGTGCAATGCAGGATACTAAGCTCAAACGTCCTTGTGGAGTCCAGACCTAAGAAAAAGTAGGGCATTTGGGTCTGAAGCACATTTAGGAAGACTGGGCTGTATGATTTGAGGGTGGGTACAGCAGAATTTGATTTCCATGCTGAAAGACCTACATAGAATGTGTTCTTTCTTGATTTTTAGGCATGAGGGTCAATGAAGAGGATACTTCAAAAGTATTGAAATGTTGACAGGGAAACCTCACATTATTTCCCAGAAGGAGATTTGCTGTGTAAGGGGCACTGTGATATCTTTGTGAAAAATAAAAATGCTGAGGCAGTTTTCACATCCTTAAGAAAAACCTTATCTCATAGCTCCCTCCTTCTGTGCCTATCCAATCGGAGCTCATGGCAGAGGACTCAACAATCCAACTTCCCTCTGTTTTAACCTCCTCCTCTCCTAAGGGCCCTGGAGTTTCTTGTCACTGGCTGCCCAATAAAACTTAATTACACATACACAGAATGCAAATCAGCAATGGAAGCAGCTGTTCCTTTGGTCTAATTCCCTCTGCTGCTCCCACATGCCTATCTGACATCACCCAGGGAGGGAATTAATCCCAACTAAATTCCTTAATGAGAAACTAAACTATCCTTGAGGAAAAAAAGCAAGAAAGGATATGATAGAAATAGATCCAACGACACCTCCTGCCATATCTTACAGCCACCTCAAACCCTTCATCTCTACCCTGTCCTGTCCTCAGAATTCCCCAGTGTGGATTTGTGCTGCATTTCCAATCCTTCCTGTCCTGCAGAACTGCCCTACTGCCAAATTGGATTCTGCAGAAACTGAGGTCTGGCAGCCCTCCCAGAAGCCAGAGGGACTGACAAATCTGATCCTGGAGCTTATTTCCAGCACATATTGTGGAAATCAACTCTCCCATATATTGTATGGGGATTTAGGAATACAGTACAGGACTGGAATGGGAAGACTTGTAGTTTGAGTGGGGCTGTCCATGGTGCTGAAAGGGTACCAATTCAGAGGCCCATGGGTTTTTTTTTCCCCTCAGCACCATGGACAGCACTTTATTGTTCAACAAGGCTTGGAATCTGCCCTCCTGCTACTTTTGTCTTACTTACCCTAACACCTCTACTAAGTTTTGTGGTGGGTGCAATCTTTATAATGCAAAGCATCTTATCTCCACTACTCCCATAACCCTGAAACACCTCTTTTCGGAACAGCATCCTGAACATGCTCTCTCTGGGTCCACAACCCAATGCTTCACTCTACACTGCTATCGACCATAGCACTCCTGTTGGTGGCCCCAAATTCTGCCCTGCTCCCAGCTTCCTGATCCAGCCTACTCATTGCGGTACATCTGCTTGGAACATGTCACTGTCATCCTGTTCTAAATTTGGTGCCACTCCTGGCGCAGGTATCAAGTTTCTCAGTAGTGTGACCTTGCCAAGATGCTGGCTGAGCTGCACTCAGAAAATAAGGTAGAGATGGGGTTGGGGTGGGAATGATACTACTGCACCACAGTGCTGCCCTGGCATTACACCATAAATGCTGACTTACTGGTCATCGATAATGTGCTTGCAGGATGTGGAGATGATGTAGCCAACTGTGGAAGCCATAATGGCCTGCACTGAGGAGACAAGTCTGTGATAGGAGAATGGGAAATGGTAAGAAGTTTAAGTAACTGTGGTTTCTCCTTCCTCTTCTCTTGCATTCTAGAACCCTATTTCCATTTTAGGTCTGAAGGTATGAGGCCAAAACAGTAGTTCTCAATCCCAATATGATATTCTGGGAGCCGGCCTGGACTATTACATTGCTCCAGAACTCTGCCAGCCTTGACCAACAGCTTTAATTCCAACCCACGCATCTTTCACCATCCCATAACAACTGCCATTGGCTAAATATATTTGGAGATAAGTAGCAATGGCTAAATGATTCAGCTGCCCATTGACCCTGCTACATTCTCAAGTAATTCCAGAAGTCAACCAACAGAGAGGCTTTCATGCTTAAAAGAAAACATCCTAAGTGATGAGGGCAATTGGGTGTCCCCTGCCCCATCTTAGTAGACATCCCTGGGGTTTTCACTACATGCCACTTTTTTTTAAGCATCTCTTACTATACCCCAACAAAACATCTAGCCTCCTGAAAGACTCCTATTTTCAAAAGCATTTCCATTTTGGAGTGCAGAGCTGTGGGTACTTTAATCCACAGCATAATAAACTTACAGTGACTCCGATAACCTGTTCGGTGACACCTTGTTCCCAGGCTCAATATACCCTGCTAAGACTTGACTTTCTTGAGTTATCACTACTGTTGGGTTATCAAGAGGCGGCGGTGACACCCTTTCAGCTCTCATTGTGTTGGTTGCTTTTCCTACAATGATCCCAGTCCCAATGTGGGATCCTAGGAACATGAACTAGCTCACGACCTCAATACATTGCTTCTTCCAGAAAATCCTGGGCACTTTTCTATTTATAGAGATCCCATACAGGTCCAAGAGAGTTTGAAACTCAATGCACCCTACTCTATTCCCAGTCAGTCCAAGAACTGGCTTCCAGCTTTAACCTCTCCTTTTGCAGCTACCAGGAAAGCTTGCTAGGGATGAGGACACCACTCCCCCTTCAAAAAAAAAAAACCCTCTCCCTTCCCATTCCATCTCCCCAGGACCCAAAGTCCCCCCCCCTTTTCCTTAAAACCACCCACATCAAAGTAACAAACCTACAAAAATCCAGGTGCCCAGCAGCTCATCCTTGAGGCCTCTGCCTGCCCTCCTTCCTGCCCACCCTCTGGACTGCTAGATCCTGCTGACATCCCCTCCTGCATCCCTGGTTACCTGGCTGAGACGATGACCGCGTCAGCCTCCTCCCATCGCAGGCCCGGTAGCCACTTGAGGCCGTTCTTGGACAACAGGAAGAGGCCAGGAAAGACAATGGTCCCTGCTACCAAGGCGTGAAACATCTCGCTCAGGCTGTAGGGTTGGGGTGATGGGGGGAGGAGGAGGAGGAGGAGGAAGGAGGGCAGAGCGGAGGATGGGTAGGGTCAGTGGGGCTGGGATCCCTCCGGGTGTCCACGAGGAAGGCTCATGGTCCCCCAGGGGGCGAGGGGGGATGGAGAGGGAAGGGGGGATGGCGGTGGGAGGGTTGGTCCCTAGCAGAGCTGCTGTGACAGACACAGAGAGAGACACAGTCGGGGGAAGGAAGAAGGGAGGGAGGGGGAGCAGCTGTCAGCACAGTGCGGGAGCAACTTAAAGAGACAGTGGACTGCGCTGTGCAGATGGACCCGCAGAAAGAAGAGCAGGATAGCACAGCTCAGCGTTGAATAATCACAGCTAAAGAAGCTCAGGGCCCAGTTTGCAAGGCATGGTGGGAGACGGAAGATGAGATCTATGTATGGGTGGAGAAGGATTGTGGAGTTGGGGGATGAAGCTGGGTAGGATGGATCTGACTCAGGATTGGAAGGCTGAGCTGGAGGTTTGGGACATCTCAGAGGGATGAGGTTGGAGACCCAGATATCGGTGTCCTTAACATCCCATGGCAGAATCCGCTAAATTAATCCGGCGCTTCTTTCCATCTGGAAGGCGGTTGAGCATTGCTCCCCCTTTTCCAAGGCAGCTAATCAGGCATCATCATTTAACCCCCGGAACACCAAAGCCTAACTTCCTTGAGCTCTGCCTCTTCCCTTCTCTGGCAGGATTGCTGGAAATTTGGCTAAACTTACAATCTCAGCTCAGTTGGTGGAAGCGGTGGAAAGAGACTATGGGGCAGCTAACCCGTTCCCCCTCCTAACGCATTAAGGGATAATCTTCTACCTGCTAAGAGGTGACCCTGATACAACCTTTGATAGGTAAAAGAGCAATTGGCTGCCAGGATGAAATAACTAAATCGGCAGTGACACCTTACGGCTGACTGTGAGCATTGTAACATGCTGATTTTGTAAAACAGGGATGGGTAGAAGTGCAGGGTTGGGTGGGTGGATGTTCCTGGAAAAGCTGTGAGGGATTCTCTCCCCTAGTCTTTGAGCCTGTGGTTCTTCTAGGTTTGCAGGGAGCCTCCCACCTGGCAGTTAGATAGACGGCAAAGCAGAACTCCATTTTCCAGATGTGCACCAGGAACCAGCGCAGGATATAGTAGAAACTGGGATAAGCAACCAAACCCAGAAAGAAGAAGTAGGAGAACTGCCAGAGCAAAGGACAGGATTCAACAGTTAAGGTAATCAACTTCTGTCTAAGCAACACTGGTCTTATTGCTTTCCCTCCTAAACCCACATAGAAAACTTCGAGCATCAGTTCCATATGGTGGGTTTCATTGGTTTCTTAATAACACATTCTCAACATCCCACTTTTTCAGGACAGTGCAACAGTGGCTACTCAAGCTTTTTTTAGGCATAAATGCACGGAGACCCAATTTATATGAGCTATTTGGCCAATTCCACCTTGACTTGATGTCTACCACAGGAAGCCATAGGTTAAAAAAAACCTCAGACAAATTATTATCAGTTTGTTCTGTTTATGAATTAATTCAGATATTTTACTGGTTACAGGCTAACCATACACTGTCCTTTCCACAGTTTGAGCAAAGGAGATGGCCTTTTTAGTCCTTAAATAACCAGTTCATTATAAACAAAGTGAGATTGTGATGGCATTGACTAAATATATTAATATGTATTTAATCAAAATGTTGGTTGATTAAATACATAATTGAGACTGTCTTGCTGGATCAGGTCAGAGGCCTATCAAGAATTGTGGAATCTGTATGCCACCTGGAGGAGGCATAAACAATTATGCCTAAGCATTGTAAGAAAAATATGAAGGGATTTGTATATAGTTATATTGGAGACATGCCTAATAGGCAAGTATCTGAAGGATTGTCCCATAAATTACACAGAAAAAAATTTTTTTTTTTTGGTTGCTTCAAATTTAGGACCCAAACAAGGATTAATTGAACAGGGATTTGATGAAATATTAAGACCTCCCTGTCGATACAAACATTTAATAGTGGAATTGATCATCTGAGAAGCTGGTGGACTCCCCACAGGCATTAAGCAGAGATAAAACCAGCCACTGTATCTGGGAGAGGATATTTTCCTCCTTTCTCCTTCTACCGTGGATTAAAACTCTTTAACTACTTCAGTTAAGAGATCAGTCGGGTTCACATATTGTATTACTGATCCATAATGTCATTTGTTTGATTTGCGTTGGGCATTGTGGTTTCTAAGACACGACAGCAGCTCAGCATGTTAGTGAACCCATCCAATTGTGGCTTATTTAATAAACTGATTAGGCAAGCCGTGGCTAATATATAAACATGCATTTATGTAAACCCAGCCAGCTTCTCTCCCCCTTTACTGCTTCT